AGGTTAAAGGTATTGGGTATAATTTGAACAAGGCTTTGGAAGCTATTGACCCTGGGGAGCCAGGGGATTGGGGCTGGAAAGGAAAGGGAGGACAAGCTCAATAAGAAAATAATCAAGGGAACCTCTATGGCGTCACACTCTGATTGCACCACCAGAGGGGAGAGGGGAAATATTCTTTGGCCAAAAATGTGGTCCCCCAACAGATAAAAATGCCTAATACAAAAAGGAGCAACAGAACAAAGGCTATGATGATCACACCACCCAAGCACTTCCAGCCCTTATTGTTCATGTGTCCAGCCCTCTAAGAGACCTCTGCCGAGATGCAGTCTCAGCTCCTCAGGATGTCTGGACTCAACAGTCCACACCAAAGGGGGATCCATCAGTCCTTTTGCCCTTGTGTAATGAGTCCAACCTTTTTCCTTAGTCTGAATGTCAGTATCTGAGGTCAGCAAAACTTCAAAGGGACCTTCCCAGGTGGGAGTAAGCTTCTCCTCCTTCCAAACTCTGATCAGGACCCAATCTCCAGGCTGGTACCTGTGGACTGGGAATCCCAATGGTGGGGTTTGAGCAATTAGTTCCTTTATCTGAAGAGTATTCAAATGTTTTGCCAGGGAAGATACATATTCTCTTGAAAATTTATCCTTTTGTTCAAACAGAGGGTCCTAATTCCCTTCCTCTCCCTCAGGGTAAGGGTGTCCATACAAAAGTTCATAAGGAGAGAGCCCTATGTCCCTGCGGGGTTTGGTTTGGATTCTGAGAAGGGCCAGAGGCAGGCATCTGTTCCAGTGCAATTGGTTCTAAGGCTAACCTGGTAAGTTGTTTCTTAATCTCTTGATTCATCCTTTCAACCTTACCAGGTGAGGGAGGGTGCCAGGAGGTGTGAAACTCCCAGGTAACGTCCAAGGCTTGGGCTAGAGCCTGCAGAACCTTGGCTGTGAAATGGGTCGCCTGGTCTGAATCAATCCGTTCTACCACTCCATACCTTGGAATTATTTGCTCTAGTAAAATTTTTCCCACTGCAGGAGCAGTGGCACATAGAAAAGGAAAGTCTTTGACCCAAGAAGTTAAGCGGTCCACTACGACCAGTAGGTATTTGAGGTGTCCTACAGGGGGTAGCTCGGTGAAATCCACCTGCATGCTCTGAAAAGCTCTAAGACCTGGGGGCCTGCCCCCTACCAGAGTCTGGCACAACGCAGACTTGTTTGTCCTTCAACATACAAGGCACCCGTTTGCCAACTGTTGAGCCAAGGTATAAAGACCAGGAGACATGAACCAAGTCAGGATGGCATCACACAGGTTCTGGACATCCCAATGACTACCCTGGTGTAAATGTTAAAGGACCCGCCTCATACCTGCTCTGGTCAGTACCTCTCTTCCATCTGGAAGTAGCCATCACCCATCTTTTTCCTGTGCCCCTGATGCCAGCGCCTTCTTAGTAAAGTACTTAGTACAGTACCTGGCACATACTGAGTGCTATATAAATGTTAGGTATCATCATCATCATCATCACCATTATTGTGTTATCGTTATACTGTGCATACTTTCCATCCATTGTCCACGTTATTCCATATACCTTGTCACATATCTGTAATATACCCAAGTGATCACCAGTTTTACTTCCTTCCTGAAGCAAATCATTGTACTCTCATTTTTAATGATTAGAAAGTATTTTATTATGTTAACCTTATAGCAGTTTTGTTTTTATGGGACAAGTTTTTACTTTTAGTTTTATTAATTTCTCTTTCCATTTTCAGGATTTATATTTCGGTGTTGAATTAGAGATTTTTAATTTGTTCTTTTTCTAATTGTTTTAAATTGCATACCCAATTCACTGGCCTGCTGTTTCTCTATTTTATTGATATAAGAATTTAGAAATGTAGATTTTTCCTCTGATTACTGCTTTTGCTGCATCTTATAGATTTTTGTATATTGCATCATTGTTATTCTCTTTAATTGAGTGATTGTTTTTATGATCTGTTCTTTGACTCATTCATTCTTTAGGATTTGATTGTTTAATTTCCAATTAACTTTTCATCTATGCTTCTATGGCCTTTTATTGAATATAATTTTTTAATCATAGTCTGAAAAAGGTGCACTTAATAGTTCTGATTTCCTGAATTTGATTGTGAGGTTTTTGTGCCCTAAGATATTGTGAATTTTTGTCAAGGTCTTTAACTTCTTCCTTATTTGTTTTATAGTGAAATTTATCTACTTCTGAGATCAGTTAATTGAAGTCCCCACTAGTATTATTTTACCATTTACTCCTACAATTCATTTAACTTTTCCTTTAAGAGTTTAGATGCCATTTGGTCCATATATGTTTAGTATTAATGTTATTGCCCATGGAACCTTTTTTGTAAGATGTAGTTTACTTCCTTATCACTTTTAATTAAGCCAAGAGACAACAATAGTCAATAAGACAAGAAATAACTGTGTTTAACACAGAGAAATGCTTTGCACAAAATACCAACAAGATGAATATATGTCAGATACAGTGAAACAAGTGGAAGTAATAAATTTTTATGATTAGTTTCCCAGGAGATTGTTGTACTCAAGGCCTCTGTGTAGATAGACTCCCCCACACAGAGATATAAAATATATGTGTATATATATAGAAAAATTTTTTTTCACTCTGCAAAAAATGATTCCCTTCTTTCCCTCCCTCTCCCTTACCCTCCCAATGAAAATGAAAAAAAAAAGCATAATTCCTCTGAGAAATATGTATAGTTGGGGTCAGCTAGGTGGCAAAGTGGATAGAGCACTGGCCCTGAAGTCAGGAGGACCTGAGTTCAAATCTGGCCTCAGACCAAACACTTGATACTTACTAGCTGTGTGACCCTGGGCAAGTCACTTAACCCCAATTGCCAAAAAAAAAAAAGAAAAAAAAAAGAAAGAAAAGACAAAAGAAAAAAGAAAAGGAAAGGAAAAAAAGAAATATGTAAAGTAAAACAAATTTCTGCGTTGGACATGTAAAAAAAAAGTCTCATTCTGAGTCTGTAGAGGAGAGTTGGAGGGCTTCGGCCAGCCCGGGTCTTACCTGTAGTTTGTACTAAGCCTAACAGCTGTGAAACTCAGATGTCGGCTCACCACCCCCCTGTTCCGTTTCTTGAGACCAGGACGCGGGAAGGGAGGAAACGGATGGGGTACAGGACAGGACGCAGTAAAGAATGTAACAGACAAGGTACAAGGAAGTAAGGAAATCACTTAACTAGATTTGTACTTTTCATGAATAATAATGTTACTGTTGCTTGATCCAGTACTATATAAGCCTGAGCCCTCAGATCAATAAACAGAGTTTGTTCTTCACTGCTCTCACCTGGCCCGTGATTCTTTCTCTCTTCACACTCTGCCGGCATCAGACCACAGCCGGGGACGCAGGCGCTTCCGGCATTTGGCGCCAAGACCTGAAAGGAAGGCTTCCCCCGGCAGAGTGGCCCTGGACAAGGTGGGCTGTTTGGCCAACAGCCCTAGAAAAGGAGCTCCAGTCGTCAAGAGAAGACGCTAACAAGGTAGGGCGATACTTTTCCTATATATTTTTTTATTTTCACCAGGTTAAGCGGGGATTAAAAAGAAACCAGACTGCCGCTTATCGGGGTCTCTTAAAGTGAACGTGAACTTCAGAACGAGACTGCCGCTTATCGGAATCTCTTAAAGTGAACGTGAACTTCAGAACGAGACTGCCGCTTATCGGAATCTCTTAAAGTGAACGTGAACTTCAGAACGAGACTGCCGCTTATCGGTCTCTTAAAGTGAACGTGAACTTCAGAACGAGACTGCCGCTTATCGGAATCTCTTAAAGTGAACGTGAACTTCAGAACGAGACTGCCGCTTATCGGTCTCTTAAAGTGAACGTGAACTTCAGAAGGAGACTGCCGCTTATGGTCTCTTAAAGTGAAAGTGAACATCAGAACGAGACTGCCGCTTATGGTGGTCTCTTAAAGTGAAAGTGAACTTCAGAACGAGACTGCCGCTTATTGGGGTCTCTTAAAGTGAAAGTGAACTTCAGAACGAGACTGCCACTTTTCGGGTCTCAGATTTAAAGTGAAAGCAAACTGCACAGGCGGGAAAGCAAACCGCACAGGCGGACAAAAGAGACTGGCGGCTTTCAGCGTCTCAAAGCTGAAGTAAACTTCAGAACGAGACTGCTGCTTTTCGGCTTCTCTGATTTAAAGGGAAAGTAAGCCACACCGGCTAAGTAGTGTCCTATAAGATAGTTAGCTAATATGGGGCAGAGCTCGTGGGCAGAACAGAGAGACAGACAATATTATTTGAAAGTGTTCAAATACAGGGGACACAACTAGAATTTTAGCATGCAAATAAGAACATTGTCTTTCTTTAAATTGTCAACTGCATCCTTGTCATTTCTATTGAGAACAAACCAAGTGCCATTCTGCTACTGAAATCTCTGCATAAGATACCTGTACTGTCCAACCATTCCATTTCAAGTCATAGCTGAAATCAGTCAAGTGTATCACCAAGATTCAATCTGCTGACTATTTTGCTCGCCAAGACTGTACTAATACCAACTTTGATTACACTAGGAAATGGCAGTGCTCAGTCTTTGTGGTGGTGCAATTTTCACATATTTGCTATTTTATTGATTATTGTTTAAAATAATTGTACTGTATGAGAACTTAATGATTATATCTTGGAATTATTTTGTATAGAAAATATACTTAGAAAAGTGGTTACCATGCTGCTGTCCTGTTCTTGTTAAAAAGACCCATGTCATAAATATTCAGGACATTGGCAGCTGATCACATTTACAAAGTCAAAGTGTAAGTGAAGTTATTACTCCCTCCATAATGCCTTATGGACAAGCAGGAGCTGTGATGTGAAGCTACACTGTATTTCCCATTTTATATATGTCTTCCTATTTGATTTTATTCAAGTTATAGTACATTCTGAAAAAGTTGGCCTGTAAATAGCTGATATCATATTACCAATATTTTTTGATCCTTACATAAATACAAAAGTTTACTTCTACGTTAGACTCACTTTTTTCTTTTTTTACCATCACAGATGAAATGCTGGCCAGCTCATCCTTATGCCCTTCACCACCACCTCTGGATCTTGAATTCCATACTTAAATTACTTCTGCATCCTCATGTCCACCTGAGCTGGTTCTTTTTTTCCCTTTGAACTTTTTTTTCCTAGAAAAGATTATGAATTTAAAAAAAATTTGGATCTGTAATATAGGGCTAATTATAAAGTAAACCAAAAAAATTTCTCATGTAAAATTACAGGAATGTTCCTATATTTCCTTCCAGGTTTAAATGCTAGATTTTTCCATGATCCTATCAAAAAAAAAGTTTGGCTTATTTAACATTACATCATCCCAAATAAGCAGGGCAGTGCCTTTTATAGAAAAATTAAGTTTAAAATGAATATTTAAATTTAAAATAAATATTTTTCTGGTAAAATACTGATATTTTAATTCAGAAAATATATATTTCTGGAAAATGCACAAATTTTAGCTTTGTAAAGGACTTAAATGGGGCACTGCTCATTTTACAGAAAATTTAAACTTTAATACAATATTTTATAGATTCAAAAGAACATAGGTTGAAAAATGTTAAAAAGTTTAAAAATATTAAGTCATTATTACTACTCTTCTGTAAGTTCTCTGATTTCCTTCAATTGTTAATTTTTAAAATTCCAAGAAAAATAAGGAGACTAGAAAAACAAAAAAGGAAACAATCAAGATATCTTCAACTTCTAAGTGCAAATTCTATGATCTATATGCATATGAGTATCAGTATATATAAATGTATATATGTGTATGTATGCATATGTACATACATATATTATGTGTATAATACATGACAATTTGTGAACTATAATAGTGAGAATATACACATATGCGGATCTTCTTTCCTAACTAATAAATGTTAGAGCAAAATTTAATATGATAAGCTATTACATGAAAATGATAGCTATTTTTAATTTTATTACATTACTATTACTATTTATGGAAGTTTGAAATGAAAAAATACGCAGCATATTTCTACAAAGAAAGATTCTATTTACTTAGGATAATCATCTGAACTTAAACTCAGTGAGGTTTCATCAGAATCTGATGGTATGAATTCATTCATCCTGTCTTCCTCAAAATACCCCTGAAAGGAAAAAAAAATAATTAAAAAAATTTGCTAATCATTACCATTTATCAAAAATGTTAAAAGATTTTTTTTTTTGCTTATTTCTCTTAGTGTAAAGTGCTTAAGGCCTTTGCATTAGTTTCAGTCTCTAACCCCCATCTACATAAAGGACAGTATAGATTATGGGCCGTGGAATCAGGAAGTATTCATTCTACACTATACCTTCAACACTTAGGATCATTGAATAAGAGCTAAAAAGATCCTTAGACATCATTTAGTCTAAACTCAGACTTTTGAAAAATCATACAAGTGGCAACTCCAAAATTTGAAAAGACATGGTTGCTGTGCTTTACCGCAATACCACGCTTCCATTCTCCATGTTGTAATCCTGTGCAATTAACTTAATGTCTGTGAACTTCAGTTTTCTCTTCTGTAAGATGGGAGCAATCATATCAGTGGCACTAATCTCGTAAGAGCTAGTCTACGTTTAAAACGGTGGTCATACACGTGCAGTAATGTATGTGTGCTCTGCAAACCATAAGTTGTCATATAAATATTACTACTAGTACTTCATGCATAATTACACTGCATTAACTGTACTTCCTTATACTTCCTAAAAATTAGAAGATATTATTTGCTATGTTCTGATAACCTGTGTAAAGCAGGGATTAGTACTATCTGACTTTTTTACCCAAGCCCCAGGCAAGACTAATACCATAAAATGCAATCAAGTTTTAATGCATTAGCAAGTAGACTAGCTGAACAACCTGCTCCTGTATGGGGGATTTATTATATGAATATCGGAATTTTTAACTTACTTGGGCAACATTTGTTCTTCCCTACATGTGTCTCATTACCATTGCAACCCAGATTTGAGCCTACTCTGTAACCATCACTATGCGTAATATGGCCCTGGAATTGTAGAGGGTTATTTGTTTTAATTACTATGCTATACCATCATAGCAATGGCTTTCCTACAACTATGTTGGCTGACTGTTAATAATAAAACACTATGTAGAGGCTCAACTCTAAAATGTAAGCACAAGCTGAGGAAACAGCCCAACAAATAAAAAGTATTACAGGTAAGGAGTAAGCTGATGAAATAAACTTTGCATAACCCCTACTTTTCAAATGATTATTCACAAGAAATATTCTAAAATGTTTAGAGAAACTTGGGAGAACTAAACTGAGTGATATAAGAACAATTTATACAAAAAGGTAAATTAGACAACTTTGGAAGACTTAAAAATCCTGATCAATGCAATAGCCAGCTCTTAACTCCACAAATCTCATAATGAATTATACTGAAATGTACTAAAACTATACTGCCCTCTTTTTCAAATAGATGTTGGACTATGGTGCAGAAATAACATTTATGCATGTAGATTCGCAGTCAAATATTACACAGTTGAAGAAGTAACATGCTAGTAACTTGGGAATAAAGACTTTGAATATAAGGTTTTGAAAGGAAGAAGTGAGGATTTTTGTGGATGAAATCAGTACATTCTAGACATGTGTATGCAGTGCAAAAGTACAGGGTTAAAGATGTAATGGTAAGAAAGAAGACTTTCTTGAAACTCAGTGTGTATAAGAATTATAAATATATGAACATGGAATACATTAGACTTGCTTATAAGGAATTTAAACATCAAATAGTGTGTAGTATACATTTGATTCTAGGGAAAACAGAGAACTACTTGAGTTTCATGAATGGGGCAGTAATTTAGTTAGACATATTGTTAGGTAAAATATGATATTGGTGATGATGGCCTGAATTGAAATGTTAAATGTAAAAGGTATTTGGAATGCAGATATGCCAACATTTGACATCTACATAGTATGGAGGCTAATTAAGAGCTAAGTTGATGCCAGTGTTACCTGGAAACCAAAAGTAAAAATATTGATACTTTCAATAGTGGCAGTCCAAAAAAAGTAAGACTGGTTTCAGACATGATGAATTTGAAAAATTTCCAGGTTAATTAGTATCAAAAGTCCAGTAGGCAACTGGTGATACTGAAAACTCAGAAGTGAGACTAATATGGGAAACAGGTAATCAAGAGTCTGGGCAACACTACAGAAGGGTCACAAAGATTGAAGTTTAAGAAAAGACCATTAAGTTTGACAATTAAGAGACTTAGTAATTTCATAGAAAGAAGTTTTGGCTGAATAGTGAAAGACCAGATTATACAGAGTTAAGAAAAGTTAGCAAGAAGGTAGGAAGGACCTATTGTAGGCAGCTCTCTCGAGAAATTTTGCTGCGAAAGGAAAGGATGTGACAATACCTGGCAGGAATAGATAGATCAGGCACATTTTTTGAGAATGGGGAAACACAGACATGTTTATATGGAATAGGAAAGCATCAGGAGACAGGGAGAGAATGAAGATCATTAAAAGAGTGAGGATGACGTTGTTTCTAATTCTTCTTTACAACATGACTAATGTGAAAATAGGTTCAATATAAATGTATAAGCCTATCAAACTGCACAGTGTCTTGGGAGGAGAGGGAGAGATGGAAGAAAATTTGGAACTCAAAATGCTGAAAACTATAAATAAATAGTGAGGATGATACAGGGAGAAACACTGGAGAAAATGAGTTGGAATGAAATCAGACTACTAAATAGATACTTAAGTATGAATATCTAATTTACCTTGTTTTCTTTGCTAATATAGTCCAGCTGTAAGCACCATGGATGAGTCCAAATTCTGCTTAATATTTGAAAATCCTGGAAGAGTTTTGTTCCTGCTTTTCCTCTTCCTCCTTCTCTAGTACTTCCTGTTCCTGATAATAAAAGGCATGTAAGTTAAAGTTTAAAATGTTCAAATTTTTTCACTAGAGAAAGTCATGAATACCACGGTCTAGAGTTTCAACAAGAATCTAAATATATCTAAATGTTTAATAGATTTGGAGGGAGGTAAAACTATTGACATTAAAAAGATCTTATTACTTGTGACTCAATACTTATTAGAGAAATATATCAAATACAAGACAAGGGTTGCCTATACAGGAAAAGTTGATAAAAGTTTAGGAGTAGGAAAAACAGCAGATGCACAACTGTGTCTAGATCAAGGTTAGAACCTGGAAAATCTAATTGTGAGATGACTCTAGAATACTAGAACGTTTTTATTTGGAATCATTAATTCACTTTACAATTTTTTTTTATGATTACATAACTTATTTAATACCATTCTTTCTAAACACTTCCCACCCTTTTACCAGCTATGGCTTTCATTACTATTTTTCACAATTACTGATTTAGGTACAACTTCCTTTCCTCTGTTACTTTTTCTCATACTTTGATCTTTACGAATAAAACGTAAATCCACACTACTATATCTTGGCTAGCTATCATCATCATTATCATCATCGCTAGTATTTATATAAAATCTACTATATTCAACACATTGTGCTGAGCACTTTACAAATATCTCATCTGATCCTCAAAACAACTCTAGGAAATAACTTATTATGCACATTTTGCAGATAAGGAAATTAAGGAAGTCAAGCTAAGTGACTTGCCCAGAGTCACAAAGAGAGTAACTATTTAATGCTGGATTTGAACTCAGGTCTTCCTGTCTGTAGGCCCAGCATTCCACCTAGCTCTGCTGAATTCTTATGCCCCAGTGTGATGCCCCAGTAATGGACATTTAGAACTAGTTAGCCTATAAACTGAATATTACCACAACACAGAACCCACCTATCCTCAGCTTTCCTATCACTTATGTGCAACCTTGGTGTCAATTCTCAATTCCTACTCATATATTCCACATGCACAATCACCTTCTAAATCATTTTCACTTCTCTCCAATCTCTTCTATTCTTTTAAACTACATAGATAAATCTCTTATCATCTTTCTATAGCCTTTCAATTGGTCTTACCATTTTACATCTCACCATTCCAATTCAATCTTCACCGAATAGATTATGTATTTGTCATTTGAGAGGTTTTCATAATATCAAATCTATTAATAATAAATTGTTATTTTCTTTGTTACATTTTAAGTTCCAAACTGTCTCCTTCCCTCCTTCCTACTCTGCACTAGAGAAGGACACCATTTGATAGATTTATAAACATATGTAAAACTATACTATACATACTATTATTTGTTACTTCTTACTCCTTCATAGGTCCTCTGTAGTTGATTTGAGTGTTTAACAGTTAACAGCCACGTTGTGCGATGACTAATATTGATAGACTTAGCCCTTCTCATCAGTGCAAGGATCTAAGACATCTCCAAAGGCCTCGTGATGGAAAGTGCTATCCACATCCAAAGAAAGAACTATGGAGTTTGATGCAGATTGAAGCATACTATTTGCTATTTTTTTTCTTTCTGTTGTGTTTTGTTTCCTCTTTCTGGTGGTTCTTCCTATTGGTTCTAATTATTCCTTATAACATCACTAGTGTGAAAAATATGTTTAATAGGAATATATATGTATAGCCTATATCAACTGCACGCCATCTCGGGGAAGGAGGTGAAGAGGGAGGGGGAGAAAAATTTAAAACTCAAAAGCTTATGGAAGTGATTGTTGAAAAATCAAAATAAATTTAAAAAGAGATATTTTCTTCATCTATTAATATAATCAAGCTGAGATATTCCTGATTCACAGTCTATCACTATAAGAGAAAAAGTGCTGGAAAAAAAAGAGGAGAGTCTAGGACAGCAATATGGAGAATAACAACAATTAGGGAAATGATGAATCAACAAAGTAGTATAGTCAGAAGGATAGGGGAAATAGCAAGAAAGGTAATAAGAGAATTAGGCATAGAAGAATCATGACAGAGTCCCATGAAAGGTTAAAAAAAAAGAGAGAAAATAATTAGAAGGAGGGAGTAATTAAGTGGTACAAAATTTTCAGAATCAAGAAAGTAGACAAAACCATTGATGAAGCTATGTAACTGCAGGTGAGATAAATTGTCAATCAATAAACATTTATTAAACACCTATTATTTGCTAGGTATTATGCTAAGAACTAAGAATGCAAAGAAAGGTAAAAGACAGTCCTTTTCTCAAAAACTTGTAGTCTAAAGGCAGAAGTAACTTGCAAATAATTTATATATTGGAAAAATTTGAAAATAATGACTAGTGGGAAGGCAGTAGAAATTAAGAAGGATCAGGAAAGGTCTCTTGTGGGAGGTGAGATTTTAGAGGGATTTGAAGAAAACTAGGGTTATAGATGCAGAAAGCATGCCAAACCTGGAGAACACAGAGAGAAAATGCCAAGAGTCAGAAGAATGAATGTACTGACCAAAGAACAGGCCATGTTAATGACTGAAGAGCACAGGGAGGGGACTGACAAACTGAATGATTAGAGAGGCCAGGTTATAAAAGGCTTTAAATATCAAATTATAAAGAATTTGGGGGAAAAAAGAACTCCAAGATTTATATATGTAAAGGGAAATAATTAAGGCTACAAGGAAAAAATGCAAAATGACAATTTAAAATATGTGATCACTAAAAGATGTCAAACTCTGCAATTTTAAAAATAAAATAATCATTTTAGAGACTAGATAATGGCACATATATCTCCTTTAGTCTATGAAAAAAAGACTATAGGAATTAAGACACAATGTTGCATACGTATCAGTAGGTTTTGCTTAAATATCTTCTTCGTCATTTGAGAGGTTTTCACTTTTTGAATCTTCAATAACTTTTATTAATTTCTACTATTTTCATATTTTGATATAAGTATGCCTCTGGTAAAAATATGCCATGATAGCCAGGTCCAAAATTTCCTTACTCGTTTATCTATATGAATACTCTACAACACATTTTAGGATTCTAGTAGAGTAACATTTCCCTAAAGATTAAACATATGAAACGTTTAGTAACTCCAGATACAGTATATATTCACAATCAGAAAACCTACCTTTCTTTACCTGAATTTTGTTAGCACTTTAATAAATTCCCCTTTTCTACCAATTTATTTCTGAAAATTTTTTTATCAGAATATCCTGTGTCTGTTTTCTAGGAAAATTATTAATTATTAAAAACAAATCTTGTTTTTCTATCAGTACAAGGTATAGTTGTGATAATTTTTGAAACAGAATCTTTTTTAAAATAAAGATTTAAAATATTTTTAAAGCCCTTGTTTGTGGAATACTTCTGAACTGCCTATATAGTTGCAATACAGGTTATAACCATTATAGTCTACCAAGGGTTTCCTAGTTTACCTTTCTTTGCAAAAGTTTTACACAAAACTGTCATCAAATCCCTTATGTTAACTTCATCATTACTACAAAATACAGTCAGATTATAGTCACAATGTGTTATTTCAGAATGATTTCTAAATACAAAAGACGTTAAATTTTTCTTACTGGGAGCTTGCTTCATTCTGTACTTATTTTGCACTATTCTAAAATGAGGATGGTATGAGATACGACCAAATATATTTTTTAATTTTATTAATTTATTTTGATTTATTAAGAATCACTTCCACATGCTTTTGAGTTGAAAATTTTTCTCCCCCTTCCTCCCCCCCACTCTCCCCAAGATGGCGCACAATCTGATACAGGCTGTACATTTACATACCCATTAAACATATTTTCACATTAGTAAAGTTGTAAGTAAAAATTAAAACCAATAGGAAGAACTATCAGAAAAATGAAACAAAACTCAACAGAAAGTAAAAATAAGTGGTAGCGATTCAACTTCTGTAGTTCTTTCTTTGGATGTGGACAGCATTTTCCATCCCAAGGTTCTGGAGATGTCTTAGTTCCTCATAATGCTGAAAAGAGTTCAGTTTAACAATCTTAGTCACTGCATAACGTGGCTGTTATTGTGTACAAAGTCCTCTTGGTTCTGCTCACTTCACTCAGCATCAGACCATATAAGTCTTTCCAGGTTTTTCTGAAGTCAGCCTGTTCGTCATTTCTTATAGCACAATAGTATTCCATTACATTCATATACCACAACTTGCTCAGCCATTCCCCAATGGATGGGCATCCTCTCAATTTCCAATTCTTTGCCACCACAAAAAGAGCTGCTATGAATATTTTTGTACATGTGGGTCCTTTTCCCATTTGTTTGATCTCTTTGGGATATAGCCCTAGAAGTGCTATTGCTGGATCAAAGGGTATGCACAGTTTTGTAGCCCTTGGGGCATAGTTCCAAATTGTTCTCCAAAATGCTTGGATCATTTCACAACTCCACCAACAATGTATTAGTGTTCCATTTTCCCACATCTCCAACATTTATCATTTTCCTGTTTTGTCGTGTTGGTCAATCTGATACATGTGATGTGGTACCTCAGAGTTGTTTTGATTTGCATTTCTCTAATCAATAACGATTTAGAGCATCCTCTGACCATTTTATCAATTGGGGAATGGCTTGTGTTCTTATAAATTTGTCTTAATTCTCTATATATTTTAGAAATGGGGCCTTTATCATAGAAACTGGTTGTAAAAATCTTTCCCAATTTTCTACCTTCCTTCTAATTTTAGTTGCATTGGCTTTGTTTGTGCAAAAACTTTTCAATTTAATGTAATCAAAATTATCCATTTTGCTTTTCCTAGTGTTCTCTGTCTCCTGTTTGGTCATGAATTCTTCTGTTCTCCATAGATCTGATAGGTAAACTATTCCTTATTCTCCCAGTTTACTTATGGTATCAGCCTTTATATCTAAGTCATGAACCGATTTTGACTTTATTTTGGTATATAGCATGAGACTTGCGTCTTTGCCTACTTTCTGCCATACTCTTTTCCAGTTTTCCCAGCAGTTTTTTTCAAAGAGTGGGTTCTTATCCCAGAAGTTGGGGTCTTTGGGTTTATCAAATAATAGATT